GAGAGAGAGGGGGGGTAGGGAGAGAACCTGAGAGAGAATCTGTTATTGCTGGAACGATAATTTGTGTGTTTTTGTGTATGTGTGTGTTAGTGTGTGTTTGTGTGTGTGTGTGTGTATGTGTGTGTGTTTGTGTGTGTTTATATGTGTTTGTGTGTGTGTGTGTGTGTTTAGTGCATCTTTTATAAATGTGCGTGTCTCTATACACGCATTTATAAAAGACCTATCACACATGTTCCAGATTGCCACGTTTCTCAGACAGAACCAGGTTAGGTGTATATGAGTGTACATACTTAGTACATGTACCATGTAATCTAATATATTATTTGAGGGGGGGGGGTTAGTGTGTGCATGTACTTATATAGCCGACTTTCTTATGAAGAAAATAACAGCTTTTCCGTACCTTAAGATAAGACCAAATAACTCAAAACATCTTCTTTGTTTCTTGATTTCTTCCTACCAACAACAGGTGTCTCGGACCAAGAAGAAAGCCAACAGAAAGTCAGAATGGGACGCAACGTCTCTACCCGGGTGCCTATTGTGTCCTTAACAGCCAAGGTGGACAACAGCCCTAGTTCCTACATCAACTCGAGTTCAGATCCAGTCAGCTCGATATTAGAAAGGATAGACGCTGAGCTAGACGATATGGACCGTCGGAACACACAGGTGATTGTTGTCTTGCCACCAGTGCACTCATGTGACCTTATCAACTCTGTTGGACCAGCAGCATGCCCAAAAGAATGTTTCCCTCAATCATGACACACTAATCAGAATATTATGTGAGGCATCGTGGTGGAATCAGGCTCTCGTCAATTTATGGGCATGTAGAGTTATTGGTGTCATCATAAAGGTTGTTCACTTGTATTTATTGGGATGGAAAAAATATCCATTTATCTTGAATACAAGTCAAGATATTTGCGAATGAAGGAGGTGGGGGTCACCTGTTTCCAGAGGTAAAAGTAGTGAGAAAATAGCCGCTAAAGATTAGTTATTCCCTTAGCTTAAGAGTCCGTGGTAACTGAAAATTTACTTTTTTGTGCCTTTGATCAAGGTTTTTCAGAAATATTCACACAGAAATGAGTTCTTTAATGGGCATGAAAGGTGTTGGACCTAAAAACAAAAATTCGATAAAAAATTCATAAACTTGTGGAAAAATGCAAGTTTATTCACTTTGATTATTTTGACGAGAGCCTGATTCAACCACGCTGCCTCACATATGGATTTTCATAGTTCGTAGTATGAATGTTGTTGTCTGCCTGTTTAAGTTTCAAATCAAGAGGTCAGAATTGCAAAAATATATTTGAATAACGAAGTTAATGTTTCATTTTCAAAGTACCATAATATAGCGCGTCTTAAAATGTTGTCATGGAATGCGTGTGTTCAATGCGTTAATATGCTGTTGCAAACGACGTACAATTCTTATCAAACAAAAAGTGACTTGGAAGTTAGGCTGCTTTTGCGAGCATTTTACCATCTTGTGCTAATTCCATAATATTCTTTCGGTTTGGATATCCTTGTAAATTATTCTCAAAGAAAGCGAGTTTCAGTCGCGAAAGGTAGCTGGTACAAAAATAAATAATGTGAGGCGTGCTGACGAGATGAGTAACTTGTCACATTTTAGTACATAGATAGATAGATCTACATCACATTTATAGGTCGAGTTTGGACAATTTATTTACATAAAATGATAAAAGGCATGTTAAAACAGAAAGAAAATGGCATCAGTTAAAAATCCACAAATTTGACCCCTTGTTTTGATTTTCGGCCGCTATCCCCATTCGTTAATTGCAAGAAGTAACTCTTTTTTTCAGCATACCTCACAAAAATT